CTCATAATTTTTTTTTAAAGTTCCCAGATCCCAGGAAAAGAATTTCCTTTAACAGATGAGGAAACTGACACCTAGTTAAGAAAATTAAGCCGCTTACTCCTAGATAATACAAATAGCAGAATAAGGATCGAACTCAGGACTTCTGAGTCCAGATCTAGGTTGTGTATTGGATAGAACGGTGGGCCTTGAGTAAAAAAGACCTGAGTTCAGATCTAGGCACAGATGCATACTAGATGTTTGCTCCCTGGGCAAGTCATTAACCTCAGTTTCCTTAACTGTAAAATGGGGATCATTACAGCATCTGACTTTCAGGGCTGTCACGAATCTCAAATGAGATGATATTTGTAAAGTGCTAAGCACAGTGCCCACCACATAGTAGGCCCTGTTTAAATGTTTATTCCCCTCCCGTAGTGCTCCTTTTATTTATACCACATTGTATAGACTATTCTGAGTTTCTATTTCCAAGACACCCAGCATACCTAAAAACATAGTACAGTGGATAAGAGACCTGAATCTGATATCAAGACAACCTGGGGCTTTAATTCCCAACCCAGATACTTACTAGTGTTATCTTGGCAAAGTCAATTAACTTCTCTAGGATCTGGTTTCCTCATTTGTAAAACAAGGGGTTTGGACCAAATGACCTTTCCAGCTTTAAATCTGTGACTCTTTGATAATCTGATCCTAAATACAGCTCCCATGGGGATCCCAGAAACATTCTACCCAGGCTATTAGGGGAACTCTAAACAAAGAAGGAATAGTGGGGATACATTCAGAGTCAAAAGGATTGGGTTTAAATCCTGGTTCTGCTGCTTATTTGAGTTTGGAGAAATGAATTAATCTGTCTGGGCCTCAGTTTCCTCCTCTGTAAAATGATGGGGTAGGACCAGATGATCTGGAAGGTGCTTTCTGGGTCTGACTCATTTAAGCATAATAGCCATGGAAGAACATTACAGTCACCGCTACTCCTGAGATCTTTATGATAATAGGAGAAAACTCAATCAATAAAAGGAAAGAATGTGATAGTGAAGTAAAATCTGAGGACAGGAAATGGGAGAGAGCAACAGGAAATACTGCGTGCTAAACTGAAGGCCTGTCTCTCACTGCTTTTATCTTCCACCAACACCTCAGTACTCCTAACTGACGAGCAAACAAAGCGTGGCTGTGTGACTGTGCTGAGAGATTCAGGGTTTCCCCTCGACCCTCCCCCAGACCAGCCTTAATAAGAGGCTGAGCATATGCTACGATGAGGTCACTTAGGTTTAGAAAGCACCTAAATTCATGACTGGCTTAAGCCCTGTGCAGAGCCTGGAAGACAGTACGGAATGGTGGAAAGAGCGTGGGCTTTGGAGTGAAAGTGCCTGGCTTTCCTACTACTATAGGGGTGACTTTGGGCAAGTTTTTAAACTCCTCTGGGCCTCAGTTTCTTCCCCTGTAAAATGTAGGGGCTGGACGAGAGGACCTCTGAGGCTCCTCCCAGCTATAAATCTATGACCAATCAGTCAATTGGCCAGAGCAGACGATCAGGGCTTTGTCCCAGGGGACTGTAATTTAGGAGGGTTGACTGCACTTGTGCTATTTCAACAGCTAGAAACAACTGAGCCTAACCAAGTTAAAAAGAATAATTAGTTAAAATAGGGAATTTTCTCCCTCTCCTTCACTCCCAAAGGAAGTTCTTCCTAAATTTACTCTCTCTCATTCTGCACCTGTAGCCAAATGAAGGTATCTTCTCTACTCTTAATATGGGGAACTGGCAATCTAGAATTGCTTTATCCTCATGACAGAGTGGTGTCCCAGAGCCTGCCTGCCTAGAACATTATGTCTTCTAGGTGAGGAGGGCTCTCCTCATCCCCCCTGAATTTGTCTTTAAAAGCTGATTGGAGGGCACATTTCTTGCCTGGGGTCTCCAAATGGCCAGTTTTAACTCTGGCCTATGGTAACCTAGCAGCCTGCTGGTACCAGAGCATGGTAGTAGCCAGAAGTTGTCAGAGCTTTCACATCTACCTGTGGAAGAAAAGCTATCTCTAAAAAGCCTCCAGAGATCATTTTTTAGAAGCAAGTCAGTTGTGTCTTACCCTTTGTGACCCCGTGGACCATTTTGTCCTTGGGGTTTTCTTGGCAAGTATGCTGGAATGGTTTGTCATTTCCTTCTCCAGTCAACTGAGGCAGACAGAAGTTAAGTGACTTACCCAGGGTCACACAGCTAAGAAGTATGTGAAGCTGGATTTGAACTCAGATCTTCCTGACTCCAGGCCCAGTGCTCTATCCAGTGCACCACCTAATTGCCCTATTTAGGTGGGGACAGGAAGAGCTGTCACATGGACATGCTTGGTCCCAGAAGGAAGAAGTAAAAGCAACCTAGAATAAGAACAGCAGATTTTCATTCAGTGCCCAAAGTAGCACCTGGGTCATGAACATTGCTATGGAGATGAGAGACTCAAGCTCATGCAAAAAAAAAGTCTGGATCTCACTAGGGGGAGAAATCACCCACCCCAACTCAGTGTAGTTGAGATTTGTTGGAGGTGGGAGAAGACAAGCAGATTTACTCCATTCAGAACTCACAAATGCAACAATGACACCTTGAAATAATGTCCCTCAGCAAGTGTAAGATTGCCACTCTCATGCTTGCACGTGTTTGCTCAGGTTCCTGTCTATATCTGGTATCTTCCCTATAGCTCTCTCACAGCCTCTTGAGCTCATACCAAATATTTACAGCCCCACTCACCTGCCATCTCCTCCAGGAAGTCTTAATTATCTCTTTAGTTGCTAATAAATCTGCCCCTCAGGTATCACATAGATGTCTCTAATTATATACTTTTTTTAATGGTTTACCTCCCCCTCTCTCCTCCAATTAGACCAGATCGCCACCAAGTTTTTAATCTAAACTTTGTATCTACTTCAGCACCTATCACAGAGCTCATCACATAAAAAGCACTTAATAATGTTAGATGTTGTTTTAAAATATTTTATATTTCATTGATAGTTTTTTCATTTATGTCACTTTTCCTAGTAGAGTCCTTATCTGTAATAAAGTTTAAGCAAAACAAAATGGTGCCTTGTCTATGTCTGACAGCATCCACCTCATTTTGTTCCTGTTATCTACCAAGAGGAGGGAGGCATGTTTCACCATCACTGATTGGAAGTCAAAGCTAGCCACAACAATGATCAGAATTCTGATGTCTTTTAATGTTCTTTTTTTATTTTTATTTGATGGTTGTCACTGTGATCGGTTCTAGTTATTTCACTGCAGTAGTTCACACTACCCAAATTTCTCTGGATTTTTAATATCTTCTTAGAGCACAATAATATTGCATCGCATTGATATGTCACAATTTGTTCTTCCATTCCCCCAACTGAAAAGCATCCACTTTGTTTCTAGCTTATTTTTTTTTCATACCAAAAAGATAGATGCTACAAACATTTTTGTATACATGGGACCTTTCTTTCTATATTTAACCTTTTTGGGGTACATACCTAATAGTATGGATTATACCTATACTACTGAATCAAAGATTACATACAATTTAGTGACTTTTCCAGTAACTTCCCAGTGGCTTTCTGTAAGGATTACATCAATTCACAATTCTACTAATAATGCATTAGAATGCCTATCTTCCCATAGTACCTCCAACATTTACCATTTTTGTCTTTTGTCATGTTTTCCAATCTTATGGATATGAGGCAGTACCTTATAGATGTTTTAATTTAAATTTCTCTCTTTTTAGTGATTTAAAATAATGATTCATATGATTATTTGTGGTTCTTTTGAAAATTCCATGATCATATCACTTGACCAATTATCTACTGAAGAATACTTCTTGTTCTTATATATTTATTTCAGTTCTCTGTGTGTATGCATGTATATATATATATTATATGTACATAGATACATTTACTATATATATATGTACATATAGAGAGATATACATGTACTCACAGTGGGAACTAAGATATAAATTACAGATATATTCACATATATCTATATCTATCACATATCTATTTAATATTGATAGATAATATCTTTACGTATTCATCTATCTTAGATAAGAACTTTGTCAGAGACCTCTGATGCAAAAATTTTCCTCCAATCAGTAGCTTTTCTTCTTATCCTAGATGTATTAATTTTGTTTGTGCAAAAACTTTTAAATTTTGTGTAAGCAAAAATTGTCATAGTTGTGAAATATATTTCCTTCTATTTTTTATTTGTGTTTGCAGTATACACACACACACACATACATACATATATATATTCTTTTGGCACTTATCACGGTATAAGGCACATAAGTTGAGTCTAAATCTAATTTTCACCAAACTTCTTTCTAGTTTTCCCAGTAGTTCTTATCATATAAAGAATCTCAGTTCAGTCATTTGTATTCTTGTCTCTGTCAAGCATCAGTCTCTGTTCAGTGAGCTTTCATTTTATCTCCTCCTCTCAACCTGGTTTCATGCCACTTCGTAGTCAACTCCACAACAAGCCACTTCCTTTCCCCTTTTCCAGTTCCTTGTTAAGTATTATCTTCCCCCACTAGAATGTATGTAAATTCCTAGAGGGCATGCAATATCTTGCTTCCTTATATTTGCATCCCCGGAGTTTAATACAGTGTCTGGCACATAGTAAGTATTTAACAGATGCTCTATCTATCTATCTACCTATCATGTTTGGTTCCTTCTGGCTCTTGCTTACCTAGTCTTTCCTACTGATCAATTTTTCTAATTTTTAACCCATACCAAATACTTTTGATGATTATATTTGACATCTGGTAATGCAAGGCCCTCTTTATTCCTTTTTTTTCAGCTTCTTTGACTTGTTGACTTTTTTGTTTTTCCAAATTAATTTTGTCATTATTTTGTCTAGTTCTAGAAGGTTTTTCCAAGGTAACTTGATTGACATTAGAATAAATCTGTGAACCAATTTATGAATTTATTATATCAGCATAACCCAGCCAAGAGCAATGGATATCTTTCAAATAAATTATCTTCCTTTATTTCTGAAAAGAGCATTTTGTACATCGATTTAACAGCCCTGCAATCAAGTGATCTGCTCAACCGTGTAATAAGACCAGTGAGTGAGAGAGTCAAAACTGGGCTCTATCCATCTCGATTCCTGCTTTCTTCACCTGCAAAATGAAAGAGGTGGCATAAGATCATCACCAATGCTCCTTTCGTCTCTAAATCCATACAGTGCTGCTAGTTGGGTGATTTTTTTTTTTTGGAAAGTACTTGTTGTTTACCTACAACAATAAACACAGGTTTTGCCCATAACCAAAAAACCAGATGAATAAATCACTCCACTTCCTGCCTATTATAAAGCTAGATGTTTGATCTATGCGTGGTGTTTGATTTCCTTTGTGACTAAGGTTACTTGCTGCTGCTAATATGGTGACCACTGATTCAAATGCAGTTAAGAGCATTGTATTTCAATTTTTAAAGTCCTATTTCTATGAAATTCAAGCCACATCGTGTGCAAACTCTGTGAGCAAAGTAGGAAAGCAGCAGAGATAAACTACCTAAGTGGGAGGAAGTAGGTATCATCGCTGCACCAGAAGAATGTGTTGGCATTTCCAACGCCAAGACTGTATACAGAGCGTGCATCGTTAAGCACTGAGGTATAAACAAGCCTTTATGACATTGTAGACTGAGAGTGGCGAAAGCAAACCTAGTAAGGGAACAATAATAATAAGAGCTAGTTTACTACATGTCAGACACTGTGCTAATAAGAACTTTACAAATATTATCTCATTTGATCTTTAAAACAACCCTAGGAAGTTGGTACTGTTATTATCCCCATTTTACAGTTGAGAAAACTCAAGCAAACAGAGGTTGAGTGACTTGCCCAAGAACACACAGCTAGCAAGTGTCTAAGGCTGAATTTCAACTCAAGTCTTTCTGACTCCAGGCTCAGCATACTATTCACTGTGTACCATAGCTACATCAGTCATGTGGGATCTTGTGGTGGCATGGAACCAATGTAGCTGGGACATTTTAAATCCCTGGGCATATTCTTTTGTATATTGATGATCGTGTGCTCTGTTGGGATAACTCTCTTTTACAAAAGTAAATCAGGAAGGTGATTTCCATCTGTGTAAATTTTTTGCACTAGGGTTCTCTATTCCTGAGTTGTCTCGAGGTCCAGGCAAATAGTGTATCGCTGTGAAATTGGTCCTTGGTGAATCCATGCTACAGAGAAAATTCTGTCTCTATTGTCCATTCTGAGGCCATTATCCTTCCCTTAGGGCATACCCCCGATAAGTGGAATTGATCTGCCTGTTACCTCTTGTTGACTTGTGGCCTTTTTTCTTCTTCGTCTTCAAGCAGGAGGCATAGGCACAGTATAATGGGAAAAGGGTAGGAGCTCTGTTATTAATCAATGGAGAGACACCAGGCAATTTCTATAGACTTCAATCGTTTTTTTTTTCCTTTTTTTTTCCTGTAGAATGAGGGTGAAGCCAGGTGTGGTAGCACATACCTGAAATCCCTGTTATTGGTGGGGCTGAGACTGGTGGCTGGGGTCTTCTGAGCTGCAGTATCAGGCAGCTTAAAGCCAATGGGGTATCCACACCACGTCCCGGCCCTCTATGATGGGGCCTGGAGGAGGAGGGAACCACCCTACTGCCCAAAGAGAAGCCAAGTGGGGCAGGTCAAAGTTTCCGTGCTGATGCCAAGCAGGAGGGGCGTCGAAGTTCAGGAGAAGGGCGTGTGTTCTGATTTTCAAAAAAGGCAACTCTAATGAGCTTGACTTTGGTTCCTGAGAAAGGTGGAAACAGGTTATTAAAGAGATGATTTTTTAACATCTAGAAAGGAAACAGGGAGCCAGGATGACTTTAGCAAGAAAAGAACACTCCAGCCTGACCTTATTTCCTTTTTTTTTTTTTTGCTCTGAATCAAAGAATTTGATAGTTTCAAGGACCTCAACTCAGACACAAATGGAATCCCCCCTATAACAGATGTCACAAGTGTTCATTCAGTTTCTGCTCAAAGAGCTCCAGAGATCAAGCCCTACTCCAGGCTTCTCATTCCACTTTTGGAAAGTTCTGATTGTTATGAAGTTTTTTCTGCCTCTTTATGTCCTCTCATTGTTTCTGGTTCTGTCCTCCGAGACCAAACAGAATAACTTTTTTTTTGTAGGCAATCAAGGTTACGTGATTTGCCCAGGGTCACACAGTTAGTACGTGAATGAGGCTGGATTTGAACTCAGGTCTTTCTGAATCCAGGGCTGGTGCTCTATCCACTGAGCCAACCCACTTCCACGTAGCAAACCTTCAAATACTCGAACACAGCTACCATAGCTCCCCAGAATCTTCTCCTGTCCAGATTAAGCAACCAAATTTCCTTCAACCAGTCCACATATGCCATGGATTCGAGGCCCTTCCCCATCCTCCCCATCTCTTACAATGCCCTTTCTTCAACTGCAGCACCCAGAAGTGAATGTGATACTCTGAATAAGGATTGGCAAGAGCAGGCAGAGCATAATGGGGACTCTTTATTCCTGGCAGAGATGACTTTTAATCCAGCCCAAGATCCCGCTCACTTTGTAGACTGTCTCATTAAGCCACTGACTCACAGTGGCCTTGTAGCCCCAGATATTTTATAGACAAACAGCTGTCTGACCATGCCTCCTCTATCTTGCCCTGAGGAAATTGAATTTTTTATCCAAAAGCAAGATTTTACATTTATCTCTATTGCTTTTCATTTAATCAGATTCAGCCCAAAGCTCTTGCCTTTCAAGATCCCTTAGGCTTCTATCTTTCTCATCCCCTAAGTTAGCTGTCTCTCTCAGCTTTGTTTCATTTGCATATCTGATGAACATGCTACCTATGCCTTTATTCAAGTCATTGATAAAAATGTTAACTCTACTGGGCCAAGCAGAGATCTCAGAGGCAATCCACTAGGAGACTTCCTGCCATTTTTTCATTGAAGTATTAACAACTATTCTTTGGGTCTAGCCTTCCAATCAGTTCTAAACCCACCTAATTTTGAATTGTCTAGTTCACATTTCTCCATCTTCTCCATAAGAATAGTATGAGATATTTTACCACAAGACTTGCTAAAATCTAAGTAAGTCACATACATCATGCTCCTTACCCATTGCCTTAAAGGCAATGGGTAAGGAGCATGATGTATATGGTGTCTTGGTGACAAGATGTTTTAGGCCCCAAACTCCAAAAGCTGAAAATGATAATGAATCTCACATTGGTAAGTTCCCAGTAGACTTTCGGTAGCAATCAATTTCCTGGTTTAAAAAAACAAACCTGCTTTCAGACTATCTAGGCTGGTATCTGTATGTAATACAAAGAGCTTATTTGCACTGGCAAAAACCATTATTGGTATGTAAGTATGGCACCTAATCAGGTCATGAAAGCTCGGTCGTATTCCTAATCCTCAAGATTTCCAAATGGTACTAATGGATTAGGTCTCTAACTCTCCTTTGTCTTGGGTTACATTTGTGAACTTTGTATCCTTCAGTTTCTGCTCCTTCCAGGGAGAGGTTCACAGACAAGATCAATCAATCAATCAACAAATATGTATCAGGCATTTTGTGAGGTGCAAGGATTCTAAGGCAAAGATGAAATCCTTCCTTCTCTGCTTAGTCAAACCCTGGGTTAGGAGGAAGAACAATCCCAACCTGGTGGGGGGGGGGGGGGGAAGGCAGTGTCTAAGCTGAGAAAAAAGCAAATGTAAACCGAACCATACCAGGATGACTAGAGTGAAAGGGAATGAGAGCTAAGATGGAAAGGCAGGCTGGTTGCTGGATGGTTTCTGGGTAGAGAGGGGGTGGAAAGGATAGTCCATAAGGAAAGCAGGGCATTCCAAGGACCTAGCCATTTGTACAACTTAACTTTATGCCCTAAATTAATCTTTTTATTATGGCAGCTGGAGCCATCCATTCTTACTCAACACTAATATACTACAAAGTCATGATTCGGGTCCCCCAAGCCTGTGTGGTGAAGTATTTAATTCCACCCTCTGCTCCAAGAAACACGCATTTCTCAAGTGTAGAGAGGAAACTCCTCTGCTCACCTATTTAGTTTCGTTATTGGCGTAAATACAAGGACGTACAGAAGTCCAGAGAGGCGAGGGCAGTCTCTGGACATAAGAACAAGTCCAGGGCCTTAAGGTATCGAGCACTCATGTTTGCCTATCTGCTTTGTTGATTTCTTCCATGGTATATCTATAGTTTCTCTCTCTATGCCTGGCTCTAATTTCCTGCAAGACTTTCTGGATCTATCTTGACAAAAAAAAGAGGCCTGCATTATCCCCTGCCTTTCTTCAGAAAGATCTCTTTACATGAGTCATTAGGAGTAGAAATATCTCTACTTTCCCTGAGTTCAGTTACTAAGAAACGAAATGAAAATTTTAAAAAAGTCTTGAAAAAAGAAACCCATAAAAGCATACATGTAAAATCCTTTAAATGATTTTTCATTCAAACACAATTACAGTAATGGCTAGCCATAGATGGTATTCCTTGGTTTAACTTACTGTGGGATGACAGGCAAGAAAGAGAGCAAAGGATGGGCCAACTCTAGTCATGTCTTCTTTCCTTTGCTTCAGCCTTACATGGGGAATCCACTCCAAATCTCTCTCTTTCAGTTTAATTATTTTCCTCTTCCCTCTTCTCTTTTGATGCTCCTCTAACCCCCTTCCCTCTCTATCCCACACCCTAATTCACACAGAGGCAGATGGCTAACTTTACAACTGAAGAAACTGTTACCCAGAGAGGTTAAGTTTCTTGCCAAAGGTCAGATACGGGCAGTTAGTGGCAGAGCTGGTCAGGTGGTTCGATGGCATATCTGAAGTAACCCACATGATGGGGTTAAATAGATAAAGGCTAAAGGGTTATCTCTGAAAATTTCTGAGCAAAGGAGTGATGTGACCAGGGCATTAGGCACATCATGAAATTACTCTTTGTTCCTTCCATGCCATTCAACTGAGCCTCATTTAATGGATATCGATCATCTATTGAGGCCGGTCTTTGGAGCATGTGCAGATATTTCCTGCCAGACTTCAGTGTAAGTGATAACATGGAAGCTTGGGTTGGGCTAACTTTGAGCCATGTTGACTCAGGTGTTTATACTATGAGATGATGAAGAGTTCTCTAATTGGTTACTGAAGCCAAAAGAATTGATGGCTTAAGGGTTGCTGGTTGGAATTCAGTGGGTATACCAAAGGGTTGCTCCATCCTTCATCTCTCTCTCTTACAGCTAGGAGGAGGCAGGATTACTTTGAGTTGCCTCGAAAGGCCAGGTGAGAGAAAGCCATAGCTGCTCCATCTCCCAGCATGGTGGCCATGAATACATAACCCCTTCTCTGAGTTCATTCTTTCTTGATATTAGCAAAAGAGTATTCTGATGTGGAAGTGTCCAGGTGACCTGGTGAATTTGGAAGATCCAGAGGACTCCCTCAAAAAGAATGAGGGAAGTGGAAATTGGATATTGTTTAAGAACTTTTTAATCAGTGGGTCAGTAGAAACCTGTTGTGATAACTTGATGCATTCTGTTCTCAACATATTTTGGTCTAACAACCAATATCATTTATTAGCCTCAGACCATAATTTCTCTGGAACAGTGTTACAAACACTAGATAAGTCAAGCATTTGAGTGAAAAAAACCTTAGATTTGATATCTGAGGATCTATTCAAATTCTCACTCTGTCCTTTTCTTTCTTTGTGATCTTGGGCTGATCATTTTTTTTCCCTTCATTTATAAAATGAATGACTTGGACTAGATTTTCTGTAAAGTTCTTTATATCTATAAATTCTATGATTGGCTCTTTTTTCTTTCCCATATGTGACTATGTTATTGACTGTGCATATGGTTGATAAGTATTGTTGTAGCTATAGCAGCCCATACCTGGCTCATATCTTGCTATATGCCGCCTACAGAAAAACAATCATTTAATCACTTATATAGGGAGTGTAGAAGATATTTTGACTATCAGGTGATACTAACTTCAAATGACCAGTCAATTGGTAATGTCAGAGCATGTCTAACGCACTTGTCTAGTTTCTCAATGACCACAAGTATCCCCATTTCTTAACAGGAGGCCCTCACCTACACACTTTTCCACTATACCTTTTCCCATCCCACATTTAGGAAACCTCTTTCTGATCAACCTCATTCAGAGAGTCAGACATTTGACTATTTATTAAAACATAGCAAAGTGAATAACTCTAACTATTGCAATAGAAAAACTGCAGAAATCCTACTTTGCCCAAATCATCTTTCCTGCAGATCTTCCTAACGGCTCCTGGACCATGGGGAGAAGGATTAGGAGCTGGAGTTGCCAGGCAGATAGTCTCTGCAAGCAGAGAAACAGGAAAAGAAGATTGAAGCCAGAAGACAGATCCCACCAATGTGTAAAGTTTTCATGACATTCACCACCTGGTCTCCTAGAACAATGATCCCATATATCACTGCTGGTTTATTTGTCCAATTCAACTTTCATCTCCACCCTGGGTTTTCTGCATTGCTTTCCAATCACCACAACTATCTAGGATGGCTTAGCTTGTTCTTTTGGGTTGCAGGGGCAGCAGCAGCAAGCAGTAAGATGATGAACAATCCAACAAGCAAGTGGCCATCTGTTCACTGTCTGCAAGAAAAGCATGGCTTGCAAAAAAAAAAAAAAGGTGGCTCACAATGATGGGTAGGAATCTCTTGAAAGGCAAAGGATCCAGGAATCTTGGAGATGTGTAGGTTTGCATGCCTGCACACAGCTTCTCATGTCTCATTGACTTTTTTTTTTACCTCTTCAAGGAGGGGAAGGAAGAAGGGCCACTAGAAATCTCTGTTACAAATACATATTAGTCACCAAAACTTTTGTAATTAAGGTACTTCCTTAAGAAAGACGTGCAACTATGTCCAGCATTGTAGCTTATGTAGACTACTAGGGGTGCTGTAAATAGAAAGCTAGACTTAGAGTCAGCAAGACCAGGGTTTTAATCCTGCCTCAGATACTTAACTAGTTGTTGGATTCCAGGTGGGGCAAGTCATTTGACATTTCATCCTCGGTCTCTTCATCTGTTAAATGGGGGTAATTATTGCAACTCCATAGCAATGCTGTTGTGAAAATGGAATGAGATAGTGTATGTAAAGAGCTTTGCATACTTTAAAATGTTACATCAATGCTAGATATTTATATTACAGTATATAATATTACATTGTGTTGTTCAGTCATTTCGGTCATCTGACTCTTCATGACCTCATTTGGGATTTTCTTGGCAAAGATACTGGAGTGGTTTGCCATTTCCTTCTCCAGCTCATTTTATAGATGAGGAAACTGAGGCAAACAGGGTTAAGGGACTTACTCAGGGTCACACAGCTACAGTCTGAGGCCAGATTTGAACTTGGGTCTTCCTGACTCCAGGCCTGGCAGTCTACCCATTGCGTCACCTAGCTGCCCCATATATTAATTATATCACACCAGTCACAACTTGAATGGATGCCTTTTCTTTTTAGGGAGTTTCTCTAGAATCCTTGCTAAGATTCAGGAAGCTCATTAACAATGCATCTGGGAGATGTCTCTCAGGGTCATTTGCGTTTGTGTTTAACCAATCTTAACCATTTTAAGTTTTATTGGCTTCCATTTCAGAGGGTGACCTTTTCTGACCGTCTCCCCAAATTCTGCAGATGCCCCTTCTTTAGCACCTACAGCTTCCTATATTTGAGGACAAAAGCATCTTTGTCAAGCACTACACTGCAGAAAGCCATTCTGCTGGCTCAGCATGAACAATCTTTTCGTTAGAAATGGTTTATAGGAGAAGCAGGACAGAGACAAGAAAGGGAAGTAGGAGGAATGGAAGAGAGAGTGTAGACCACAGTGGGTGTAGGAAGAGAGAAGTGAGAGTCTTGTGCATTGTTGGCAGGTGAATGATAATAAGTCAATCTTAGTCTTTGTATTTATATTGTTAACGGTGGGGATCAAGTACTTTTGGGTCACACGATTGCCTTGTATTTAGCTTGTAGTCACCCATGGAGATCAGTCTCTGGGGAATCAAACCAGGCTAATAATAGTTTAATTATGTAACACTCCTGAGACTACATTACCCTATCATCAATTTGGGTCTCCCAGGGGACAATTAGCCAAGGTTCAAGATACACTGTGGATTCCTATTGTAAATATTTCATATTCTTATATGAAGGCTATGTTTCACAAGCCCCCATGGATTACTTCAAAATACTTCTCTGATAGACCTGTGGTTCAATTTGCCACAACTACATCAGCACGGGGAAGAATGCATGCATATACATAAGAGTTCACCAGGGTAGAGGCACACACTTAGGGAGCCAAAGCTGCTACTCATCTTTCTGATTCTTCTGGGCTCTAAGGCCTTTCCAGTTCTTATGCTATTCTCACTTGCCTCCTTATTGGTAGTGTATCTGAAGAAAGAAAAAGAAAAAGAAAAAAAAAGAAAAAAGGGGCAGCTGGGTCGCTCAGTGGATAGAGCACTGGCCCTGGATTCAGGAGGACCTGAGTTCAAATCCGGCCTCAGACACATAACACTTACTAGCTGTGTGACCCCGGGCAAGTCACTTAACCCCATTGCCTAGCCCCTCCAAAGGGAATGGTCTGTAATGGGCATCTTACTCTGATGATAATTTTGGCTTGCTCCTTATAGAACAGCCATAGTCTCTACCTTCTATATGTGACTCAGCTGCAATCCCTAACTGGGGTATTGCTGTGTTCTTTCATAAAGAACAGACACCCTCATCATAGGACCAACAGAAACTTTCCCTGTTCTACCCTCTGAAGGCTATGGCCCTGAGACATGGCACTTTCTTTTTTTCTCCTTTCTTTCTTTCCTTTTTTTTTTTTTGGCTAGGCAATGGGGTGAAGTGACTTGCCCAGGGTCACACAGCTAGTAAGTGTTAAGTGTCTGAGGCCAGATTTGAATTCAGGTCTTCCTGAACCCAGGGCCAGTGCTCTATCCACTTCACCATCTAGCTGCCCCAGCCTTTCATGCTGAGATATTTGAACTGTGGGTCATCTTGGAAAGTGAATGCCCCTTGGAATATAATATTCTGGAGGGCAAAGGAGATAGGATTACAACCAAGAATCACCTACCCAGAAAAACTGAGTATAATCCTTCAGGTGAAAAAATGGTCATTCAGTGAAATAGAGGACTTTCAAACATTCTTGATGAAAAGACCAGAGCTGAATAGAAAATCTGACTTTCAAATACAAGACTCAAGTGGAATATGAAGAGGTAAACAGGAAAGAGAAATCATAAGAGACTTATTAAGGTTGAACTGTTTATATTCCTGCATGGAAAGATGATATTTATAACTCATGAGACCTTTGTCAGTATTAGGGTAGTTGGAGGGAAAAAATTATATGTATGTATAGATATAGATATAGATATAGATAGATATAGATATAGATAGATAGAGGGCACAGGGTGAGTTGAAGATGAAGGGGTCATATCTGGAGAATAAAATTTAGGGGTGAGAGAGGATTATACTGGGAGAAGGAGAAAGGGAGTGGGAGAACAGGGTAAATTATCTCACAAAAAAAACAAACAAACAGAAAAGAAAAGGCTCTTACCGTGAAGGGGAAACAGGGGAAGGTGAGAGTGAATGAGTGAATCTTATTCTCATACGATTTGGCTTAAGGAGGGAATAACATACACACTCAATTGGGTATGGAAATCTGTCTTACCCTACAGGAAAATAGGGGGAGAAGGGGACAAGAGAGCAAGGGAATGATACAGAGGAGGGTAGATTGGGAAAGGGGATAATCAGAAGCAAACACTTCTGAGGAGGGACAAGGTCAAAAGAAAGAATAGAATAAATGGGGGGGGTGGGATAGGATTAAGGGAAATAAAGTTAGTTTTTCGCAACATGATTACTATGCAAGTGTTTTGCATAACTGCCCATGTATAACCTATATTAAGTTGCTTGCCTTTTCAATGAGGGTGGGTGGGGAGGGAGGAAGGGAGAAAATTTGGAACCCAAAGTTTTAAAAACACATGTTTAAAAAAAATGTTTTCATATGCAAGTGGAAAATAAGAAATACAGGAAATGGGATACAGAAATCTATCCTACCCTACAGGAAAATTGAAGGGGAAGGGGAAGGGGATAAGAGAAGGGAGGGGAGAGATAGAAGGGAGGGCAGACTAGGGGGAGGGATATTCAGAATGCAGCCATCTTGGGGTGGGGGGAGGGGCAAGATGGGTTGAAAATTTGAAACTCAAAATCTTGTGGAAGTAAATGTTGAAAACTAAAAATAAATAAATTTAAAAAAAAGAAAGAAAGCAAATGCCCTTAAGGTTAGCCTTGTCTTTGGGTAATTTTTCCTGGTGTAGGGCTGGATTCCTTTGGTTTGAGAACTTACCTGACTTTATACTGACCATCTAGTACATTTCCAAAATGCTCACCTCTCAGTCATGATTAGTCTATGGCCATAAGACTAATAATCACCAACCATCTCTGGGGTTTGAGGTCCTCCAGTTTTTTTAAACTTCTAAGTCTCTTTGTCCATGTAGATGAGTAGATGGGGAAAAGAGTCAGAGATAAATTGATTGTCTTGCAGGTCACTCTCTCCTAGGTTTTTAATATGCTGATGAACATCTTAGTATCTTACCTTTTATTTTCCACAGTTATGCTTGCTAACTGTATTTCTCTCCATCCTATTTCCTCCCTGTTTATTCTATTCTCTCTCTCTCTCCTTTCACCCTGTCCCTTCTCAAAAACGTTTTGCTTCTGACTACTGCCTTCCTCAATCTGCCCTTCCTTCTATCACCCCTCCCATCCTTTTACTTCCTGTAGGTTAAGATAAATTTCTATACCCAGTTGAGTACGATATCTTACCTTTTATTAGGTACAACTGAACCTAATAAAAATTTCCCATATTTTTCAAGGCACAAGTTGGACTGCTCCCAGTCTGAATAACATCTCATTGCCTCAGTCATTCCTGAAATTTTGCCAGAATCTGAAAGGGACAAACATTTACATCTATAAACCAGTTTTGGGAAAGATGGAAAGAGAATACACATTTGCCTTTAAAGAGAACAATGTGGGCTAAAGGTGAAGGAAATTTTCTTCACCAACCCAGCAGTCAATTTGTAGTTCAGGATATTGAAGAACGTAAGTTTGTATCACTTTTCACAGCGCTACATGAATTGTTCATAATGTGAGTTTAGGGGTAGAGTCATAAACTTATAGCACATATGTTGAGGTGAATATTCCAATCTCTACTCCCCTTGGCAAGTGGGTTCCCAGAAGGAGGTTTCTAGATCTGCTCAGGATTCCAGGGCTAACAATACGGGGTTAGGGGCATCTTTTTAATGCGATGTAGCTCATGATTCTCCATGAGTGTGCTTCCCCTTTGTGATCATTAGCTTTTAGAAATAGGTATTTAGACTTCTCATGACCAACAAGATGGAAGACTTGATATTTCTCTGATCCTCCCAAATGCTCAAAACTCCCCCAAATAATAATTACGTTCAAGAAGTAATTGGAGTTATCTCCACAGGCTAAGACACCAAGAAGTGTAACAAGGTAACAAGTTAAAGTTACCAATAAAACAAATTAATCTCTAAAATAGGGTGCTAGAGACAATTAAAGTATCATAGGTTTCCCAGAAGGATTTGATGAGTCAAATGAAACAAAACAAAACAGAACACTTGAACACCATAATGCAAGAAATAACACAGAAAAACTGTCCAGAATTTCTGAAAATAAAAAACAAAGTGTCAATCCAAAGAATATTACAGAGAAATAGGTATTTCTGAGATGCTATAGTTGGTATCAATTAACTAACCACAAGTTGGAGCAGGTCCAGAAGAAGGTAATTAGAATGCTGTTCCCTAATTGAATTTATACTGCTAAAGTTTGGCTCCCCAAAATATCCGAGGATTATGAGGCAAAATCTCAGAAAAGATGTATAGACGTGTAGCCCAAGTTGTTTCTGAAAGACCTTCTCATCAGAGACTCAGGACTTACCAGAAAACCCTGATTATCCTGAAGAGATATACACATAAGTTCAACACTAGAGTTTCCAGTAGAGATGACAGATGTGTTTGTCAACCACCAACAATGATCTTTGAAAGATCACGGAGAACGGGAGAGGTACCAAGAAGCAGAGGAGGAAAAAGGAGGGTGGTGGTGGTGGTGGTGGTGGTACAATGTCTGAGCTATATATAGGCCAATGAATTTGACTTTGAACAAGCAAAATTCTAGAGCCTATCATTAAATAGTAAACACATAGAAAAGGAAGCAATGATCTCAAAAAAGCCAGCACAGTTTTATCCAAAAACTGTTTGTGCCTAATTTCCTTTCTTTTTCTTGAGAAAATTAGTAAACTGGCATATCCGAGGAATGCTCTAGATATAGCTTATAAATTTTAGTTAAGTATTTGAAAAAGTATCTCACACTATTGTTGGGGAAATTCAGAGATGTGAACTGGACAATAATACAGTTATATAAATTCATGATTTCTCCAATGTCTCTGCTCAAAGAGTAGTTACTGATGGTCCAATGTCAACCTGGCTGAGGTGTCTACTGGAGCCTAGGCTAGAGGTGTCAAATATGTCGGCAAAACTCTGGAGTGAGGCCAGAGCCAAATTAAAACATAATTAGGAAATGTTTAAAGAAATAAATTTCAAATACAATAAAACATAGATAATAGATATTGTGATGACAAATCAACATACTATGCATTGGAAGTGGTAGAATATAAGACACTTGGGAATGATGCCCCTGACCTGGCAGTCTTATACTTATCAGTGAATTAGCTCCTTCGCTTCTCCTAAGGGGTTGATGTTCAGCAGAGGCTGAAGATGTCTCTGTTCTCTGTGCCAGTGACTGTATTGTGTTTACAGTGACTGTAATCAGTAAACCTGACTATTCATGGGGTTCCTTCACAAAAAGATGCTCAGGCTCAGAGACAGCCATTCCCACAGATCCTACATTCCACTGGACAGATGGTCATGGGCCCAAATGTTGTACGTGGCACTAGGGGATTAGAAGAGAAGAGAGGCCTGACAGGTATAGATGAGGGAACCTTTGAAGCATTATAGAACAGGAGAGTTCTGGCAGTTTAATCCAAATATATCAATTATAGGCACAGGGATTTTATTTGCTGGTAAACTAATCCAAGTCAGGTGACCAGGTAGAAATCATCTCCCCTCTTGTCACAGCAAAACATGTACAGATGCTCAGCTGAGTACTGGGTTGTCTGCCTCTTGCTGAGGTACTTACTAGAGATCCCCAATGCCCACTGAGGTTGTTCACTTAGAGCCACCTCCCAGTAGCATCTACCAGAGATGAAGTTCTGCTGACCAAGGACAAAATAATGAGATTTTTCAGTACTGTTGGGCTGAGATCACCAGTCATCTCCTTGTCTCACACTCTTTAGATACAATGACATAGGGAGTGACTGTTGTGGGATTCATAGTGATATTCACTCTGAATTTCTTTAGCATGTCCTTCATCGTAGTGGTGATATAGTCTTTTAACTCTGAGGTGACAGCCTTGGGCCTTTCAGAAAGCAGTGACTTAATCCTCTTCAATAGCTCTTTGCCCTCATCAAAGAGTTCCAAATCACACCTGCACCTTGTTTCATTCATCTCTTAGACGGCATCTCCAATGGTGTTTTTCTTACATGTTTCTTACGTGTACTATATTATTAATAATGTGAAATGGTGGATGGCACTGAAATCCTGGGGAGATTGGAAGCTTATCTCTTATTCTTCCCTGTGTTGGAATAGGTGTGGCCTCCATGATGGTATGGTACATCTGCTGATGGGCTCCAGACTGGTTGGAAAGTGCTAACAATCTCCAGGCCAAACACTCCAGAGGAAGGATCGGTAATTTCTCAGTCAAATTATTGGATTGCACCTAGATGCCAGTAACAAATTTTCTCTTTTAAAAAACATTTTTATTTTAATTGATTTTTTCTCTCCCTCCCACATCCCACCACCCTCCCTGATAGAAAAACCAAGCCCTTATAACAAATACGCATATTCAAGCAAAACAAATTCTTGAATTGGCCATATCTAAAAATATATGGGACAGCTAGGTACTACAGCGGATGGAGTACTAGGCTGGGAGTCGGAAAGACCTGGGTTTAAATCTGGCCTCAGACACCGAATAACTGTGTGACCTTGGGCAAGTCATTTAATCCCTATTTGCTTCCGTTCCTCATATATAAAATGGGGACACACATGGACAAAAGTCCATGTATCACAGAGTCAGACACGACTGAACAACAACAACAACAAATATATGCCTTGGGTCTGTCACCTGTCAGAAGGTGGGGATCATTGCCTCACCATTGGTCCTCTGGAATCATAGCTGGTCATTGCATTGATTAGAGTTCTTAAGTCTTTAAGGCTGTTTGCCTTTACAATATTGTTGTTGTACCAATGGTTCTCCTGGTTCTGTTCACATCACTCTTCATCAGTTCACACAGGTCTTCCCAGGTTTTTCTGAAACCATCCCCTTCATCATTTCTTACAGCAAAATAATTTTCTGTCACAATCACATGCCATAACTTATTCAGCCATTACCAAATTGATGGTCATTCCTTTAGTTTCCTTTGTTACTACAAGAAGACTTGCTATAATTTTTATACGTGCACATCCTTTCCTTCTCTCTTTGAAATCTTTGAGGTATGGGCCTAGTAGCAGTATAGCTCAATTAAAAGCTATGCAGTTTACTGGCTTTCTGGGCATAGTTCCAAATTCTTTCCCAAAATGGCTGTACCAATGAACTGCAACTGTATTATACCTGTTTTCCTGAAGCCCCTCCAACATTTGTCATTTTCTTTTGTAGTCAACTTGGCAAATCTTATGGGAATCTCAGAATTGTTTCACTTCGTATTTCTCCATTAGCAAATTGAAGCATTTAAAAAAATTTTAATCAATAGCTTGGATTTCTTCCTCTGAAAACTCTCTGTTCATATCCTTTGACTATTTATGAGAGAAGAAATAGTTTTTCTAGGCTGTCACATTGCTTTAAGCACAGCATTCTGAGAAGAGACGTGTAAATGATTCAACATGGACAGTCTTGTCTCACCCTGGACCAACTGGTCAGCTCAGTGAAGCCTTACCCTAGCTCTCAGGGTTCCCATTAGTTGGGAACTTTAAGGCTTTCTATTCTTAAACTGGGAAGAAATGATCAGATTCAGATGAAAATTACAAAAGCAAATTGTGGCTTCAAGGGACTCCTTCAGCCCTGAAGAAGGAGGAGGGTTTCTGCATGATGTGCATTAGATGTGTACCTACTTGAGGACAGGGACTGGTTTGTTTTTTTGTTTGTTTGTTTTTGCCTCTTTTTGTATCCCCAGAACTTAGCACAGTGCCTGGCTACAGGGGGTACTTAATAAATGTTTATTGATGGATTGATTGATGTACAAAGATTTGGAAAGATTGGCTGAGGCTTAAAGATGTAGCTTCATGTAACCTAGCACTTAGAGTCACCTGGGGAAATTTGGATCCATACCCAATTTGGAAGGGATTCAC